TGTGAAGGGTAATGTTTGTTGACAGCCACACATTTGTTGTGAGGTGCTCTCACAGACAGGCCAGGGTACTGGAGCTTGTGTGTGAACATTTCAAATAACAGAGGAATGACAGTGAAGACATGAAAAAAAAAAAAAAAGGGAGTTCGTTAATGGATCTTGAAATCTTTGGCACACATTGTGGGGTGGATTTGTCTCAGATGTTTAAATCGTTTGATAATATGACAACTATTTCTCTTTCCAGCTCTTAAAATACAGTGCAGTTCAAGCACATACCAACTGTTGGAGCAGATTGGAGAGTATGTGTTAGTATGCCGTGGGAATTTACAAGTCAAGGTGTGTATGCAACATCTATACTCAGCTTTTCAGAGAGGAGAGCGTGAAAGTACTCTGGAGTCCCTGAATTTTAATCCATGTAGTCCTTAATATCTTACAGTCCTTTATATCTCACAGTCCTTTAATTAGACTAATTCCTGACCTGAAGAAAGCACGTTCAAATTTTAAACCAGAACCAATGCAATGGCTTGTTCATGGACAACTCTGATAAATCAGAGATGAAGGACTCAGCCAAGCTTGGCACATTCAAAAAAAGAAAAAAATGTCATTCAGAGACATCACAAGCCATCATGTGAGTTCCATATGAGAACTAACATACTTGTGAACCCAGTTTTGGATGGGACTTCAAAGAATTGTTTTAATTGATACTGCTGTCACTATCTTTTAAGGACAGGTCTAATGACTCATTTTTCCTGTATGTAAAATGGCTGACAGACACATCAATCTCCTTTTGGAACTTCTTCTGTGCTGTAGTAAGAAAATTATTTCATAAGTGAGGGATAGTGTTATAACCTCATGACTAATTTTCTTCCTTAGGGGAAAGGAGACATGGTAACATACTGGCTTGAAGGTAAGAAAACCTCTGCCCTCCAGAAGACAATTACCAGCACTTCTGTGAAGCCTCAAGATGCCAATGGAACTTCATACAGTTTGATACCAGGTGTCCTTTCCAGTGATCCTCTCTGAAGTACTGCTTACTAACCAATCACTGACTCCAGTATCCATTGTGGTTTTTGGCCTGTTAGATCGTCTTGCTGAATTAGAAAATTAGAGAAGAGGTAGCACACCCCCTTGGCCTTGTGAATGTATTAGCTCAGATTTCATTCACAGGTGTCTCTCCTATTAGTGACACTGAAAATACAAAAAGCAAAAACTTATCTTGGAGAATAATACATAAGACTGGCCCACGAGCTACCAGGGCAGAAGATAGCTCCCTTCAGTGTTACTTTTTGATTAGGTTTTGCTGTGTAATCCCCTGCCAGCAGCAACCATGACTTCAAGATCTGCTGGCCAGACATTCCAGGCTGTAAGGTGCTCTCACAGGAAAGTGGGAGACAGTGCAGTATTGTAATTTATTGGTATGACAAACCTTGTGGTTGTGATTGGTTTTGTGCTGTGAGAGTGAAAAATGAGATGTGTGCTGTGTGAGAAAGCAAGGTCCATTGTTTGGAACATAGAAAAATTTACAAAGAAAGTCTGGTGTGTCTCCATACAGTCTGTTCCCAGGGACACCTGATGTCTCGATACAGAGATCTTGAAATCTTGGGAGAGAAACTAAAGACATTGCACGTTGTTGTTAAACAGAATAAAGTTCACTATAGCTGCTCTTGTCCTTGGCTCTTCTGGGATTTCTCAAAAAAAACAGCTCTTAACATTAGCTGATGTTATGTAGTTGCTTTGACTAACGTGGCAGTGAACCTACTATTGCTGGCTAGCTGTCTGTGAAATCAGGCAGCCCTCTGAGTCACTGAGTAATTTAGGACACAGTTTAGAAAAGGTCATTCCTGAGCAAGTATTTCCTGTAAAGAGAGACCCATCCCTACAAGTGGAATAATCTGTAGATGAGCATGATTCTGTGAGCATTGCAGTGGTAGACTTCCTTCGAAGACTTACCTTTCAGGGCTAATCTATTTTGAAGAGTTTAGCCAGCTCCAGTTCAATTGATTAACAAACAATCTAACAGAATTAGGTACATGAAATAGAGAGAGGAAGGATATAAAGCAAGGAACATAGACATAGCTGATTTTGGCACATGAAAGTCCAGCCAAATTTTTTTAAATTAAAGTTTTTAATTGGTTTCATATTTTTTGTAAGCCTAAAAAAATGCTTTCTCTGCTTTTCAATTTCATATTAGTAGGTACAGTTACCTTTTTCGTAATCATTGTGAAATAAACCTTTCAGTTGTCCAGAGCCAAGAGATGTTCTCTATTACAACAATTTCCTTCATCCAAATCCTATATAGAAATTGTCAAACTCTCTGCTCTATTATATAATCCTTTGTGATGTATTAAATATTTTACATTAGTCTTTAAATGAGTTAACACTTGTTTATAATTTTTTATTAAAAAGGCACATATCATAGGGGGTTTTATGAAATGTGGATGTGAAAGCATATGCTGTGTTATATTTGTCTGTAACAATACTTCAGTTTTAACTCTTTTGCTTTATTTTAATGTTGTTTATAGAATTAAAAGCTCTAAAATGTGTGTCTTATGAGTTTAAATTCTTCTAGAAAGAAATGAGTGATGAGTGACCATTAGCAAGCTTGTTGGATTGACAGCTTTCACCTCTAACAAGTCTTCAGGTAGTAATTCAAATTCTGCTAAAGATAATATAGACTCTTGCAGACTGTCGTGGTTTTGCCCATCAGCCCGTCCCTGGGGCTGAGGATGGTTTTGTCCAGGTGATTTCCGGACAAAAAAACCAATCAAAAAGTTCAGTGACGCCTTTGCTAATTACATCTTTAAGAAAACGGAAGAGAAGGTTGTTGCGCAGTTGAAATTAGAAACAGCAGCCATGTAGAAGGGTAGCGGGCCCAAGGAGGGCCAAGGCCCCCTCCTCCCCGGCTTGGGCCGGGGGGGGCAGGTGCAGCACTGAAGCCTCCCTTCTCTCTTGTGAGAGAGTGAAGAAAAAAAAAAGTTTAAAAGACGAACTGCTTAGACGAGAAACCGCTGCAGAAGAATTCCAGCCATGAGATAACAAGATTTTCAAGGTCAAAGCTGCAGTCGCAGAAGAGAGAAGAAAAGTTCGAAGGGGGGAGAGCTGCTTTTTTCTCCCTTTCGCTCTCCCTCCCTTCAGCAGGGTAAAGACTGAAAAATAAAACCCTGCCACCTGTAGAAGTTTGTTGGGGTGAAGAGACCCCCCGTGCGGCTCACAGAGGAGCTTGTGGATGCACCAGAGATTTGTGACTTTAACAGAGAAAGCCTTATGCTGGAGTAAAAGCGGCTCAGATGAGGCAGAGTCCTGTTAAAGACTTTGTGACCCTCGAAGGGATCGATGCTTATGCTGGAGCGAGACGGCTCAGATAAGCTTGGGATCTCAGTGAGAGATCCATGCTGCTGCTGTTGAAGATTTATGACCCTGACGGGTATTAGAACCTACGCTGGAACACAAAACGGTTCAGGTAGGGATGTTGGGATCCATGTGTGGGATCCGTGCTGCTGGTGCTAAAGAGAACCTACGCTGGAGCAGAAAATGGCTCAGGTGGGATATTGGGATCCGAGTAAGGGATCCAGACTGGACCCATGCCGAGAAGTCAATCAAGGACTGTTCTCCCATGGGGAGGGACCTCCATAGGGAAACAGGGGTGAACTCTTAAACCATTATCCCCTATAACCCTGTGGAAGAAGATCCATAGTAAGCAAGTGTCCCCTTGCAAGTCTATGGAAGGAGACCCTTCAGGACCTGGGTAACCCTCAGCCTTCGGTTTTAACCCAGGAGGGGGGTAGGCCCAGCCCTGGAGGCCAACACAGAATGAAAGAGAAATAAAGAAGTTCCAACTGCGACGGAAGTGCTGCAGAGTTACTAGAGAGAGAGAGAGAGAGAGCTGGAATTCTGAGAACAGAAAAGGACTGCTTCTCCTCCTTGGACTGATATAAAGGGAAGTGGGGGGAGAAGTATCTTTTGTAAATACATAATACCTTTTACTTAAGTAGAATTGTTGTAAATATAATTCTTTAGTTTTAGTTTGTTAATAATAAATACTCATACTTTTTTTAATTCAGTCTCTTTTTGTCTGCATAAACCTTCTCTCAACTAATAGTAATTGTATGTGGGGGTATAAAAGTAAATTGAGCCAGGGCAAAACCACGACACAGACTTAGGAGGCTTAGAGTCTGGTGTTTATCTATAAAAGAGATACAGCTTGAAGGATGCTAGTGTCAGCCTACCTCAGTTGTTACTTCTTGATCAAACTGAGCATCTCCATAATGAGAACTGGATTATTTTCTAAGGACCCTAGAATCTGTGACAAGTCTCCTGCAACTTCAAGCAGTAGTCCTTTTGAATGTCAGTTTGTCTGATGACTGTAACAATATGATGCTCTTCCTCCAGAAGACAGAAGTACAGCGTAATGAACGTCACAGATGCAAACACAAGTGTCCTCAGTCAACTGACAAGTATTTTAAGATTCATCTCAGACATCTGGACAGGTGTAGTCAATGGCTACCGAAATATTTCAGATGCAGGAAAGCATTTATCCGCTGATAAGATGTGATAACCAGCACAGCGTTCATCTGTGAGATGCTTCAAATTCACAGAAATTCACATCTCAGGTATGGAGTTAGTCAGCTAATAAAGCAAGAATTCTTTTCTAAAATGGCACTCTATACAGAGAAGTATGTGATGTGTTCCTCCTTTCCTGGGTCATTATATTCCTACCAGAAAATTGGAAAGCAATTACAGTAATAGAGCTGAAGAAGTGAAAATTATATGTACCTTATAGAAAATTTCTTCACTGAGTGGCATTCATTGTCCACAGTCATGCAAAATAACACAGAGGGTGCTAATACTATATTAATGATGTGGTGATTTTATGGAAGGATTATGCATTTTGATTATTGCTTGTTGCAGCTCCATCCACACAGCACTGAGAATGCAGACAAGAACATTAAAAAAATCACACAACACAAAATCTGACTTATGAAAGTCTTTAATTAGATTGATGAACTTTCACTATCTTATTTCAACTTGAATACTGAAGAACAGACTGAATAATTACAATATTTTAAAAATTACAACAAGTAAAAAGAAAAAATCATTAATGTTTTTCCAAGTGTAAAACTTCTAGATTCCTTTCAAACCATTGGCATTGGAAAAAGACTTTTTTTTTTTGCCACCAAGAAGTTATTCTTTATCCCCTAGATTAGGTAGCAAACATCTTTTATTTAGCTTGTTATTGATATGTGCAGGGGGTCTCCAGTTCCAAGGGTTTTTTTTGTAAACAGAAAAGTTATCTGCTTCTTCGTACAGCTGATTAGTCAAACCAAAGACATGAATTTATTCAAATAAAAGTGAAATAAAACCAGGTGTTCTATGCAAACAGTGCAGGGGCATAGTATGATTGTTGAGCCTGACTGTCCAGTCGAAGGTTGTAAGGTCTCTTGAAGAACTATGTCTGATTAGTATGAGATTCCCCAGTATGTAGAACATCTCTCCCACCCCACTTAGACACTTAAAAATTACTAATAGCCCTTCCATCTGAATTGACCTTAATAATGAGAATCTTTGGTTTTTTTAAGAGTGTCTTTCTGGGGCTGTCCTTTCAGACCAGTAAAAAGACAAGGCTATGCAACACTATTCTGACTATTCTCCAGCTGACTACCATCTGCTTTTCAGTTAATGAGCTCCCTGTCCTCCTCATTCCTCTCTGAATTTTTCCCTACTTCATGCCAGTAAGTATAAAATATTAGATTACACATTTTTTACATTCTAAATTGGAATTTAAAGATGAAATAACTTGCAATAAAACGTTCTCTCCAAAGATAAGACAGGAAAATTTCCTTTCTAATTTAAAATTTGCTTAAATGAACTTTCTGATGCAGAGACATAAAACAACAAGTTTGAAATGTGAGAGGGTGGGTATTGTAGAACTTGTGAGGGAACCGTCTAAAAAGCATTCACGTGTCTGTCTGATGTTATTTAGTGCTCCACAGCACATTAAACACAGTCCCCTGGTTCAGACGGTGAACAAACTAGCCCATCTTCTCTAGTTGTACCTCACCCTTCCACTGCACTATGTCTTAAGTGAATATGCATCCTTTGTGGAACTAAATTAAAAAAAAACGGAATTCAACAGTTTCCATACGGCATTAAGTTTGACCCTGAAGCTCCACATCAAATTTTTACTATTACACCTTTGTGAATTTTGCCTTGGATTTCAACAGCAATAAAATAGTTACTTCCTGCCAGTGAGTGCCAAATACGAAGCTAATGTAGTAGCATCTTTATGTACATGAAAACTGATGATTGTTACTGCATTTCATGGTAAAATACAGTGGTGTGCAAATAAGTGTTTTGAGGAGATCTGAAAACGAATCAACATTCCTGGCGTCAGATCTCTACTACATCTACTTTTTTTCTGCAGCTCTTGTGTCCTGCCTTCAGGCAGAAAAACACTGTCCCTACCTAAGGAGCATGTTCAGGGAAAGCTACCAAAGAGAAAATACACATATGGAAGAATGCACTGAACATATTGCCTCTGTGACCAATATTTAACACAGTTAATTTGACAAATTTGGTCTCTTTTGCTGTCATGAATGATACCTCTTTTTCTGTTATGCTCTCACTAGAACAAAGTACAGACCCAGATTTTCAAAGTGTTTAATGCTTTTTCACTTCCTAAGTAATGACACTTGAAGCTGAAAAAATACTAGAACTAAATCTTTCCGAATTGACCAAAGGTTCAAGGCTTTTACCAATGGTTTGGGGAAATACTGAATGCAAAGCACTGGTAAATATCAGTTTTCAATTGCCAGGATTTCACAGGGGCTGTATTGAAGCAAAGACTTGGGACACTTTAACTCCGTTGGAAGAACTGTGTGTTCTTAAAGAACTGCAACAGAGTTGCTCTTAGAAGAGTTGCTCTCTCCTCCTCAAGGATGGAAGGAATTATAAATTGCAACAACAGGCTTGAAGCAGAAAAGTTAGGTGAGCTATTAGAAAGACACCTTTGAGGAGATCTCAAATTAATATATGGATACATTTTGCATTCTGTGACCTGCTCTTGCAAACAAATGTATAATATAAATGCAGCCATCCATGGTGCAGCAAGAAAAAACATTAAGCATAAACACTCGTGTGTATCTGACTCAAGGCTAATTCATGCAACTGTTCTGAACAGAAAATAAGCCATGATTTAAACACCAATGAAAGTTGAATCTCTTTGTCTGGTAAAGACATAGAGAGTCTGGAATTCTAAGGCTGACGGGACTGATAAATTAACAGTAATGCTTATTGATGAAAGTTTGCCAGAGAGCAGCAAAAGTCACTTCTAGATCCACTCTCTGTGTTGTATCCCGACATAAAAGGGCAGATACCACCAGAGAAGTTAAAAACTCTCTGAGAGTAGTCCCAGTAGGGATTGCATGTCCAGGCTGGCTGCAGAGTATAAATGGGCTCAGCACGAGTTGCTCTGCAGCTGATGCCCCACGCTGTGTGTTAGGAATCTGGCAAGAAAACACTTCTAGTCTACATATTAGGAAACTCCTCTACAAGTTTTAATAAAATTATTGTTAGAAACTTAGACAGAAACCTTTCAGGACTCAAAAATCTTCATGTCAGAACTATATTCTCGAGCAATACGGCTTTGCTGGCAATGTGTTGAGACTCAAGATTCTGTGTGTCGATTGCGCTCTGCAAATAAATAGATCAGTTCCTATATGCAAATGAAAATCAGGTTGTCTTGGTGGCCTGACAGTCACCCATCTCTAACTCACCACAAAATCCCAAACTTGTGCTGCAAGAATGGACAGTTTAGTTGGATCATCGAATGGATGACGTAGTGTCAAATTCTACTACCCTGCCCAAAAGCTCGAGCTCATTCTGTGAACAGTGTGGTATGTAGAAGCAGAAATGTTGAGACGGGGTTGTAGTAGCTGTTACTCTGCTAATTACAACACAGTAAATAGTTACTGGAGTCAGGACTGCAGAGAGGTTGGATCGGACGGGGAGGAACTGCCTGTGGAAGAGCAGGACATCTCTTCAGAATGAGGATCAGGAACTCAATACCAGTCCTGAGAGACACATACTCTGAGCATGCTCACCTCCTGCTTGTTCCATTCCTGGCTGAAAGGACCAGCTACTGTTTAGTGCTCAGGAGGACAAATTGCACACTGACTAAAACTTCCAAGTGTCTGTCAAAGACTTTGCAATGATCAGCTTGTATGATTGTAAAAATGCTATTTGTGACAACAGAAATTTAAAAAAAGTAACATAAAATTTGCCTGTGTACGGTTGAACTTTGTATCACATTTTGTCTTAAAAGGAGATAAACTCTACTACAACACTATGACAAATGCTATTCCCAAAATAATTTTTATATATCTTAGGAACCTTCTATGAATGTCCAAATCACTGTTTTACTTCAAACGCTATATTCAACCTGCCACCCACATTTTAGGACCAAGCAGTATGTGGAAACTGACGTTTATCCCAGAAGCAGAGCTCCCCTACAGCTGCATGCATTCTTTGGAAGATAACACTGAGAAGTGGGATTTTGACCCAGAGGTTTTTCAAACCAGTAAGAACTGAAAGAACCTCTCATCTCTGGTCGTGGCTTAGAATCACAACCCAAACTGTGTATCCTGAAGCCAAATTCAGACAGCTGCCTCTGAAAAGCAACATGACTATTCCTTCTTGTTCTAAGATCATCACTGGTACTACAAGTTCTAGTGGCCATCAGAAGAGACTACATGAGCTGAACAAAAATAAAGTCCCAGTAGCTCTCTGGCCTGGGCACATTATCTGCATAAAAACCTTGAAGCTTCTGTCATGCTATCTTCGATCAGATAAGCAGTAGATTTCTACTGGCAAAACTAGGGTGTATGAAAAAGGTCACTTCATTTAAAAAACCAACAAACAAATGAACAAACTCTTATTTTTAAAATGGCCAAATTAATCCATTTCCATTTCATTCTCTGCTTAACTAGCAGAAAAGAAAGGAAAAAAATTTAAAGATTGAGATTTCAGAGGCCATACTAATATATTTCTTTAACTTCAAATTTGCACATGTTCAATAAACAACTTTAGTGGATTACGGTGGATTAGCCTAGAAATATTGCCTAAAGTTGTAGTTTGTTAAGAAATCTTACCTCAGCAAAACAAATTAGAGGGAGGAAGTTGCCTGTAAATACCACATTTTAACCATTTTTTAAATAATCTTTATATTTTGTGGGATGTTTTCACTCCCATTTCACTTTGCTTTAACACAAACATTCTCTAGTTTTTACACTGAGAATGGAATAATGCCTGTGACTCAGATCTGCATGTCTGTATGTCAAGTTAGATATTTACCATTCTATTTGCCACTACAGTTTGCTGTTTTGTCTTGAAAAACCCCATAAAACTTTTGACAGAGAATATGTATTGCTACAAAAAAAATGAAAAACTTGACCCCTTCCCATACATACATATACATATATATGTGTATATATATATATATATGCAGAACTGTACAAATCTAGGTTCCCAGCAGGCTGATGCTTTGCTCTCTTATGCAAGTGGTTGCTCACAACCCTGTCAAAGGCAGCACACAGCTACCCAGTAGCCTGTTTTTTCATGGTGGGTCTGATCTTCAGGGATGCTGAGCACACATGGGCACACACTAGAGACCCTCACCTGCTTTGCCTGGAAACAGAAAGCAAAAGATTCTATTCCTCATTATGTTCATCAGCAGTATTTAGCTGTTGGTTTCAGAGGTTGTGAAGTAGGATTTCCCAGTGCCATCAAAGACCTCCTCTGCACATTGTAGATTAAGGTCCTGCAGTGACTAAGCTTGCAGGAGGTGAGCTGCTGGCAACAGACTGCTTTTATGTGGAAGTGGGGGCTGAACATGTCAGAGAGAGGGTCTGTCTTGTGGAATTCCTTTGCTCAGTGAATAAAACTTGGGCTGTACAAGAATGCAAGTGTTTATTTATTACCACAGTACTTTTGCTGCATGCCTGAGCAGCAAAGCTGCTTGTAACCACCCTATTGAGAGGCTTTACCTGACTCAAACTAGCTAGTGTTTCTTGAATTTAGCCTAATAGTATCCTGATGCCAAAGCCACACTTATTTGGACTGAAAGAAATAAAACTATGTAAAAAAACTAATGTAAAAAAATTTGTTTTCTCCTTCTGGAAACCTTTCTGAGACTGGCTGACTGTTACTATTTGAAGTCAGTTTCTAAACAAAAAAAACAAACACACAAGTGTATGCATAAAATTTACATTCACCATCCAGACAATTCCATGGGCATGGAAAGGCTCATTTCAGTGCAAAATTCTTTTCCCCCTTCTACAGAATACCTCAGGTTGCTACTAAAGAAGCCCTGATTTTCTTGTTTCCTATTCTGATAATTCAAAATATTTATCTGGTACAACTTATGGTTGACAAAAACCAGCTTAGTAAAACTAGTTGGTAAGACTTGCATCACACAGGAACTTTTTGGAGTTGTGAGAGTTTAGTTATAGAAACTGGGGCTTTGTGAGATGCTAACTCTATGCTTTAGCAACCAAAGACCTTAACCCTTAGAGTAGTTGCTTAGCATGTACATACCACACCTCTGATACCGAGTTAGTAGAGGCCAGTTAAGATTTTTATACACAGCATGGAAAATGCAATTTACTGTTAGACAGAATAGCTGGGATTTGTGTTTCTGCATGTTAACTGCAGGCTCAGATTTTGAACAGTTAATCCTCATTACTTGCTTCGTATTTTCCTGATACGTATCCATAAGCTGTGAACAAAAACATGTCAGTCAGGTCCCCTCTTTCCTCCCCCCAGCAAAGCATGGCTTTGAGATCTCTGAGTGGATTGTAACCATGCATCACCGATACAGAAACATCTGGCATTTTAGAAAAGGCACAAGAAAATGGCATTTTCAGAAGGGTAAGATCCTGCTCTGCACACAACCCACAGAAGTCTATTCCCTAAGCAACTTTTGAGGTACTGAAATACATTTTAAAGGCCTGAGTCCACTGACATCTGCTTCTAGTCTGTGCAAGAACTGTGTCATGATCATGTTGTAATCTCCTTGTCAAGTATGCATATGAAATCCAAAAGTGTTAGAAACATTCCAGTGAAGGCAAGACCAGTGAAGAATTAAGCTAACACATCTATGTTGCATGTTATGGATGATGGATTAGCCTTTGAACAGTCCTCTGAGTCTATCTGGTTCCTAGGAGACTTTCAGAAGAGCCCACAGGGTCAGCACATTGATTTCTTGATGCAGAGGAAAATAAAATCCTGCCAGGGAGAAGAAGGGGGACAAATCACTTCTACACTTCCTAACATCAGCCATCTACTGAAGTGCATGTTGACATCTCTCAATCCCTCCCAAAATGAAGTGACAGTACTTCAAAGATTCATTCAGCCACAGAGCACCACATTCTTTCCCACAGACAGCTTGAGTCTGATTCAGCTCTTGATCTCAGCTGACAGCCACTGCCCTCCTGCCAGTGTGCCTACAGGCTTGGTACAATAGGCAGCAGTAAAACAGAAGGGAGAGAAAGGGAGAAAATAAAATTAAAATGTACTTTCTTTTTTTTTTTTTTCCCCAAAATGAAGAATGGAATTCTTTAACCTTTAAACATGCTTGTTTACTTACAGAAACAGTATTTCAGGCACAAAAGGTTTAAGTATCAGTCACATACCAGGTTAAATTGAAATAGTATCAGGATTGTCCCATGCAGTGCAGTCAGCTATATTATCCCCTATCAAGAAGTTGAAGTTGCAGTTTTTGTATACACACATATATATAAAGTTTGCATGTTTCACACTATGCTCTCCTGGTCTGAGTTGATTCCAGTAGGGTTTATGTAACAACAGTATCTGTCATAAGGGCTGTTATCCTTGTAAGAACAGACAATGATACTGTCCTTAGGTGCCACAAAAATGTTGTCTTCAATGTCAGGGCAAGCAGTGCTGTCCCTGCTGGGAGAAGAGCTCTTCTTCTCCAAGGCACTGTACATGGAGCTATCTCCCATGCACACACTCCCCGGTATCTGTGGGTAAGAGGTCTCCAGGTATTTCAGCATGTCCTCCTGTTCCACTTTTTTGGTGAGGCTGTTGCACTCTCCCATGGTGGCAGCGGTGGTGGTGCAGACGAATACGGAATTCTCCTCACCCCGCAGCACTCTCCTGTCCTTCTGGTATGCTTTCTTGGCCAGTTCGTCACAACTCCCCTTGCCAGACTCCAGGTCTGAGGGGGTCCTTAGCAGCTCCATGACATCTCGGTCCTTCACTCGCTTACAGCACGGACGCATGTTCTCGGGCCATTTGGTGCAGCCGTCGGTCTTTCTGGTGAGGGCAATAGCGGCGATGCCCGGCAGACAGATGGCCGGCCCGATGGCCAGCAGCGGGATATCTCCCAGGGTCTCTCCCTTGATGCCGGACACGGTGAACATGAAGCCGAACACCAGGAAGACGCTGACCAGAGCCACCACCAGCCCCGTCCGGGGGTTGATGTCGTCGGGTCTCAGAGTCCGTGCCATCCTGCCGCTGTCCGCGGGGCCACCTTCCTCCGCCGGAGCGCCCCTCGGGGCACGGCACAGATGCTCCGCGGCAAGCGACTCAAGTTTCCCAGACACTGAAGCGCGGAGGACTCCGACAGCCGGCACCGCTCGCCTTCCCGTCGGTGGAGCCGCAGACGGAGGGCGGGCCGGAGCCGGCAGCCGTCCTGCCTCCTCCTTCCCTCCCTCCCTCCCTCCCTCGCTCCCCGGAGCCGCCTTGAGCTGCGCTGAGGCGGGAGGGGCCCTCACTCCTCCGGCAGCCCCGCCGCGCCCTCCCACGAGTGGGCTCGGGGGGTTCAAACCCCGGCAAAGGGCGGGGGAAGAGAGACCCGGGCGGTTTCAAGCAGCGGGCGGGCGAGGAGCGAGTGGCGGCGAGGGAACACCTGCCCTGCTCCTCCTTCCTCCTCCTTCTCCTCCTTCTCTTCCTCCTCCTTCTCCGGCCCCGCCGAAGCCCCGCAGCAGCCGTGAGTACACGCACGGCCCCCGAGTGCCACGGGGTTGGTAGCGAGGTGTTCCCCCACCTGATGGCCACCGCCACTCCCGACAACCTTTCCCTCCCGAGGGGACCCGCGACGGGCGCCCTTCCCCGGGGCAGTCGGCCTGCGCATCCTGAGTATGGACCCCCGCTCAGAAAGCCCCTGCCTCGGTGGGGACAGGGCTTGCGGACTAAATGATCCCCCAGAGAGACAGCAGTCCTGCCCCGAGTCCTTTCCTGAGTTAGGCACAAGTGGAGAGCAAGGCTTCAGGAGATGCTGTGCTGCAGCTGGATTCCACCCCGGAGGAGGCCTTTAGGGAAAAAGCCTCTCCAGCAGTTGTTCTCTCCCCAGGACCCTAGGAGTGAACTTACATGTTAGGATGCATCTCGCAGGGGTTTCCTTGGTTCCAAAGGCCTGCCGGCTGTGACTGTGATGTTTCATCCCTGTGTTTTGATGCACTTGGGTGATGGCAATTCAAAGTAAGCACCTCGAGGTGAATGAGTATAGGAAAGAATCTGAAATGTGAGGGAATGTGGAAAGACAGCAGCATGATCAGGAAGGTTGCCAGTGAAATAAAGGAGTAAATACTTTCACCTGGCGAGAGGTACTGGGAGATGAAAAGGACTGATACAAAAGAGCTTCCAAGAAAATAAAGATAATAGAAAAGGACACTGAATTAAATTGTGAAACCATGGTTTTCCCATTAATATGGTTTCTTTTCCTCATACTAAATTTTGGAAAGCTCACAGAAGCCAATTCAGGAAACACACAAATGTTCTTCAACTTTAAGTCATGGAGCAACCTGGATCTTATTTACCCTCCCTACTGTACAACATGAACAGAGCACCTCTGGATTGTAGGTTTCCAAACTGCCCAAGAATATCCTTTCATTAATGGGAACAACTCCTGACTTATAGGACACTTTCTTCATAAATGGGATGTCATGTTATAGCCTTTGCTCTTTAATTTGAAGGATGAGTAAGTGGGAGTAGAAGTACACACTGGGGAGAGTTATTTAGTCAGTGGCAATGGCCTGGGTTTGAAATTAAAAGTTTGTAATGGACCATGATCATTGTTTCAACTTGTACTCCAGGAAGTTATCCAGTAAAATCTACACTGAGCCTCCCACCTGTTGCTGAGTGGTCTGAAGCAGGAATAATCTGGACTTTGTTAGAAATACTCTTTTTGACTGAAAGGCTTAAAAATCAAAACCTTTCAGTTAGATTTCAGCACAAGTTAACTTCTACTTTTGCCACTGTGCAGGATTTAGTGTGAGAAATGACAGTAGTGTCTCAGCTCCTGTTTTCCAGAGTGAGAATTTGCTGCTTGTTTCCATCTGCTGTTATTCAAATACACAGCTTTTATGTCTTCACACTGGAATTAATAATGCCTTTTTTACCCATCTGCTGAATTCTGTAGGAAAGCCAGTCTGTCCCACACAACTAAAATATTGTAAAGTGTAAGATACGAGCACTGTTGTGTTGATAACTAATGTCATGAAAGTCACCATTCCTTGACCTTCCTTCACCTCCCTCGGTGCATTTGAATAGTCTTTCAAAAAATTGGAAATTGGTCTTTTGTTGAAAAACAAACACTGATTCTTGGAAATAACAATTACCTGAAATTGTATTCATCAACAGTCCTTCAGAGAAAGAAAAAGTGCATCACTATATGACACAGAAATGTAAATATTAGTGGCATTAATGGAGAGGAAAAATACCTTAAGAGCTGCAGTACATGTCAGAATATCTAAGAGGAATAAAAATGGCCCTTCAAATTGAAGTGGCAGGCTTACTGAGATGGAAGAAGGAACATCTACTTTGAAACAGAAAGCTGTTAGTGGACAGAAGAGTACAGAAAATGTCAGGACAAAGGTGGAACTAAATGCCTTCAATTTGTTCCTTTGTGAGTGGTTTCAAGACAAGATTATATGCTTCCTGAGGGAGGGCGTAGGAAAGGTAAAACAAACACCCTGTTCCAGGAAAGCATGCTACAGTTCTTAAAATTGTTTTTCAAATCTAGAAATCAAGAGATCAGCAAGTATCACTTAACACATAACTGAGCAACAATGCAAATGGTTGAATTTTCTATCCTGTTAATAACTGGATTAAAAAAAACCCAAAAATCAACTTCATTTGGGGTGAAGCATGTTTCTCTTCTGGTGCTGTACACAAAAATAAGGTACTCAGCAACTTTTTTGCCTCAGTCTGCCATGGCAACCTCTTTTCCCACTCCTCTCAAGTGGATGTACTGCAAGATGGGGACTGGGAGATAAAAGTGCTTCCCATTGTAATAGGTCAGGTTTATGATCACCTGAGGAACCTGAACATACCAGTTTATGGGATCCAATGAGATGCTGTGCTGATTTTGGCTGCGGTAGAGTTTATTTTCTTCACAGTGTCTAGTATGGGGCTGTGTTTTGGATCTATGCTGAACACAGGGATGACAATATACTTTTTGTTATTGGTGGGCAGGGCTTACACAGACCCAAGGTCTTTTCTGCTTTTCCTACTGCCATGCTGGTGAGGAAGGTGGGGTTGTATGAGAGACGGGGAGGAGACACAGCCAGGAGAGGTGACCCCAGCTGACCAAAGGGATATTCCAGACCACATGACATTATGCTGAGTATATAAAGTGAGGGAAAGAAGGAGGAGGGGAGGGGCATTTGGAATGATAATGTTTGTCTTCCCAAGCCACCCTTATGTGTGATGGGGTCCTGCTCTCCTGGAGGTGGCTGGAACACCTGCCTGCCCATGGAAAGCAGTGAATGAATTCCTCATTTTGTTTTGCTTGTGTGCCTGGCTCTTGCTTTCCCTATCAAACTGTCTTTATCTTAACCCACAAGTTTTCTGACTTTTACCCTTCTGATTCTCTCCTCAATACCAATCGTGAAGGAGTGAGTGGGGCTGCGTGGGGCTTGGCTGCTTGCTGGGATTAATCCACGACAGATACATCCCAGACTCCCAAGGGAATTGGCTGATGTAGTTGCCAAGCCAGTCTCTCTGGTGTTTGAAAAGTCCTGGCAGTCAGACGAAGTCACAGGTAATTGGAAAAGGGGAAATATTGGACCCATCTTTAAAAAGGGTAGGAAAGAGGACACTGGGAACTACTGACCTTTCATCTTTCCTGGGTTGACATTTCCTATTAAAAGCTACACAGCGCTGCAAAAGAAAAAATAGACCAAACTCAGTCCTGTGCCTGGGAAGATTGTGGAACAGATCCTCTTAGAAGCTCTGCTAAGGCACATGGAGGACAGGGAGGTGATTTGTGACATAAAGCCAGCATGGCTTCACCAAGGACAATTCCTGTCTGACCAACCAGGTGGCCTTCTATGATGGAGTGACTGCATAAGGGGGCAAGGGAAGGGCTAGGGATGTCATCTATTTAGTCTTCTGTAAGGTGTTTGACATGATCCCTCAGAACATCCTCCTCTCTAAATTGGAGAGAGGATTCAGCTGGGAGGCTGTTCAGTGAATAAGGAATTTTTTGGACAATCAAATCCAGAGGATACTGGTCAACAGCTCAGTGTTCATACGGAGACTGGTAATAGGTGGTGTTCCTCAGGGATCTGCACTGGTACAAGTAACTCACTCTCACTTATGGAGAACCATCAGCAGGTTTGCAGTCAACCTGCTTTGAGTGGTTTGAGTGGTGTAATTGATGTTCCTGAGAGTTGGGAAGCCATCCAGAGATGGACAGGCTTAAGAAGTGGCCCATGGGGATCTTGTGGTTTAAAAAGACCAAGTGCAAGGTGCTGCACCTGGGTCAGAGCAATCCCCTGTATCAATACAGACTGGGGGATAAACAGAACAAGAGCAGCCCTACTGAGAAGAACTTAGAGGTGCTGGTGGATGAGAGCTGGACCTGAGCCAGCCATGTGAGTTTGCAGCTCAGAAAGCCAATTCTGTCCTGGGCTGTATCAAAAGCAGTGTGGCCAGCAGGGCAAGGGAGGGAATTCCGTCCCTCTACTCTACTCTGGTGAGACCCCACCTGCAGTGCTGCATCCAGCTCTGGAGCCCCCAGCACAGGAAGGAAATGGATGTGTTGGAGGGAATCTAAAGTAGGGCACCAAGATGATTAGTGGAACGGAGCACCTCTCCTATGAGGAAAGGCTGAGAGAATTGCTGAAACTCATGAGATTCCCATGGGCCCACTTCTCCACCTTGTGCAGGTCCCTCTGGGTGGCATCCTGTCCTTCATATGTGTCAACTACTCCATTCAGCTTGGTGTCATCTGCAAATTTGCTGAGGGTGCACTCAATCCCTTTATCTCTGTCATTAATGAAGATACTAAATAAGACTAGTCCAAAGTACAGGCCCCTGAGGGACAGCTCTTGTCGCTGATGTCCATTGGGACTCTGAGCCATTCATCACCACCCCCTGAAAGGACCATCCAAGCAATTTCTTATCAATCTATAAGTCCACTCATCAAATCCATCCCTCTCCTACTTAAAGAGCAGGATGGTGTGGGGGACCATGTCAAAGGCTTTACAGAAGTCCAGATAAATTATAACTGCAGCCCTTGCCTTGTCCACTGATGTAGTCAATCAACTGATTCCCTTTTTCCAGTCACTGGGAATTTCTCCTGACTGCCATGGCTTTGCAAATATGATGGAGAGTGACTTATGAACTACACTAGCT